TGGACAATGTGACTGTGTGTTCAGAGGTGACTTCTTAGTGACTGGTCCTATGAAATGGTTCTCCCTCCATGCATGGTTGTATCTTCCAGTATATAAAGACTAAATACACTATTTGAGAAACACAATATGAGCCTCCCCAAAAACTTTCTTAAAAATATAAGATTGATCTGATCTTAAAGCAGGCCATGTGGTTTGAAATGTTAATGCATCTATAGATGATCACAAAGAACAAAATCTGATTTAGAAGCTAGGTTTTGACCCTAAACATGGAACAGAAGCTTAATCAGACTGGCAGGTAAATGCCGTCAATCAGGCATGTTTGTGTTCTGTATTTGTCCTACTGAAGAACTGTACAAAATATTAGAAATTCAATGTTATGAATTCATCATAAAAAGTATGAGGCATTTTAAATATGGTTCAAATACTAAGGTCTGAGATGGTTCAGGATTAAGGACACTAGCTGTTCTTCCAAAGGACCCAAGTTCAGTTCCTATCACCCACATGGCAGCTCACAACTGTTTGTAACTCCATTTCCAGGAAATCTGAACCCTCTTCTGGTCTCTATGAGTACCAGGTAGGCATATGGTGTGCAAACATACATTCAGGCAAAATAGCCGTACACATAAAATTGAAAAGTGAAAACTAAAAAATTAATCCAAATACTGTGTAAATCAGACCTGGATTTTATCAAATCATATTCAATGGGGAAGATAAAGCACACACACACACACACACACACACACACACACACACACACACACACACAAATAATGAGCATGATGCAAAACAATAAAAATGCTGTGACTGGGTTCTCCAGGAACTCAGGATAAGAATTTCCTTACTGTGTAAGAGTAGATGAGCCACCAAGGAAAAAGCCTTTGATCTGGCCCTTGAAGGCTGCATGATTTAATACAAAGAAGGGGGAGTAAAGAGGAAAAGGCAAGCAAAGGACCAGGGAAGTTATGAGCTACATAGAGAGAAGGTTCTTTGACCAGATTGGAAGGGGTATGAAGAAGATTACAGGGACTTGGTAGAAGTCATTGGGCTGAAATAAATCCCACAGGGATCATAGCCTGGTCTCAGCATATCCCACAGTGGAGTCCTCCCAGTTCCTCAGTGCCTCTACTCTTCCTCTGGGCCTGTCAGAATTCCTTCCAGAAAGTTACCATTTAGGGCTCCCATTCAATGCAGCACCCTTATTTAAATCAGATCTGACACTGCATGCATTTCTCTCTCTTTTTCTCTCTTTTTTTTCCTTTCCCAAGATATTTCTCTTCCAGCCTTGACAAAATCTACAGCCCTAAGTACCAAGTTCTCACTATTGTGTATCTTTTAGAGAAATGTGTGGTATGGCAGCATTCCAGGCCCTGATCATTTAGCCAGGGGAGCCCACTACGGGGAGTTAATCTGACAGGCAGAATCAGGAGCAAACCTCCCTCTCCAAAGGTACTGCTAGACCATCAGTGTTAAATTGTATCTGACATTTAATTCCAGCTTTGGGCAGTTTTGTGTGAAACCTGACTTCAGTGAGACATTGATCAGCCCATAGCTCTTCATGAGTTTTGACAAAATCAATTTTCTCCGGTTGATTGGGCGATCATTAGCTGACTTACAGAAAGGCCTGGGTCATGCACAGCTTTCTGCAGGCCTTGAAGCTACATGCATTGAAGAAATGATGAAAAATTGCTGCTGCCAGTCAGTGCCCCTTTCCCCACAGAAAGGATCCAACCCAAATCTATAAAGAACACACCCATCTTTAATCTCATTGCCTCAGAAACATGAGCCTTTGAGAGAATTATCTAGTCAGTTCAGGAAATCATATATTCAACTTTGGAAAAGGAGACACAGCTGGATGAGACTGATTACCGGAGCTTCCTTGAGAACTGTGTCTTGCCTTTATGTGCCTTTACCTCATGACCACATCTTTATTTACCTAGAGATGCTTTGAAAGAGAAACACCTGCCAAATGTGGGGCCATATGACTTATTGGGAAATTTTGTTCAGTGAATCAGTTCAAAATATTCTAAAAGAAAAACAGGATTTCAATTCACTAAAGCCACTTTTACATACAGAACTACCCTGTAACAATCATTAGCTTCTTACATGATTCATAACATTCAAAAAACCTTTTGCTCTCAAAACATGAACTAAACTATAAGACGACATTTGTTCCCAGCAGCCAGCTCAACACTAGCCACATAGTCAGTGCTTGTTAACATGCTGTTGAATATACTAATGAATAATTCATCTATCATATTTTTTGCATTGGAATATTTTTATGTGAGGAATGTGTTACTAAAAGTGTGTCTTAAATATCCCCATTTTACAAAAATATCTAAATACTGATTTATTTATACACCTGCATGTGTTCGCATAGCATAGCGTGTATTAAATATTTCTGGACAAATTGGACTTTGTTCACTCAGTCATTTTGGAATGTAAAGTAGAATTTTTCAGGTGAGAGAGCAGTGTTAGCTGTGTCTCTAGAGACCCAGTTTCAATCATCAAAAAGCTGGGTCATCTAGCTGTGGCATTCTCCGGGGAACTTGTGTACCATCATCACTCCCTGGGCAATGGTGAGCTTTGTAACCACACAGACAGTCCCTACCCATGACGTGAATGACTTATAATGGGCCTGTGGCCTTTGCCTGCCTCTTTTCTCCTCATCTGAAACCTGCATCTTCATGAAGAGAGACACTCTTTAATCTTTCTGAGAAGTATAAACTAAGTGAGCTTTTGCATGAACCTCTCAAGGAAATCTGGAATCTGCCTAAAGAGGCACTAACCTTCCACAAACTGACAGGGTAGCTTAGGGTAGCTCTGTCATGTGATAGGCACTTGGGAGAAAGACATACATTTAATAGATAATAAAATCTGACAATGGGATTATATTAAGTTTGTTGGTTTTTAGTCGATTTTAGTCTCTGTTGCTGTGATGTGAATGTGTGTCCTTCCTTCCCACACTTCATCTGTTGAAATCCCCACACCCACAGTGTTGGTACTGGGAACTTTGGGAGGCATTCTAGTTTGTTCTCTGCTACTGTGGTAAGACACTGACCAAAAGCAACCTAGGGGAGGAAAGGGTGTGTTTGAATTATGCTTCCAGGTCACAATCCCCTTTGAGGAACATGCCCAAGAGATCTAAAACATGTCACTAGGACTCCCTCATTTACCATGCCTCACTTTTAACAGGTGAAAACTGATAAGGGCAGCCAGCCATTGACCAAAACTCCTCTAAGTGTGAGCTAACCCAAATCTTTTCTCTTATTAAATCAATTACCTTAGGCATTTTGTTACAATAAAGAATTGCAGGCTCACACAGAAAATTGGTACCAAGAAACAGAATCATTAACAAGCTACAAGATGATGTAGTTTGAAAGCTCTTGGAATTGATTTACAGAAAAGGTTTAGATTTTCAAGCTAGAGAAAGCCTAGAATGTTAAGTCAAGCTTAAAGGACAACCTCAGCCAGCGAGTGGTCAGAACATAATGTTAATAGAAATCTGTACAGTAAAAGCCCAAGGCTTTGGGGGTTAAATCAGAAATCAGACTAAAAGCTGTGTGAAATCCTGGCAAAAGATTTATCTAGATTTTTGTCTACACCCTGAACCCTTGTGGGATAGTAAATGGTAGTCTAGAGTAGCTGAGACAGGAAACTTCAGGGCAAGGAAGCATCGGGGCAACATGACTGGTGCTGTCTTCTTTTAGGAAATTTTATAGTAAGAAACAGAAACAAAGCACAGAAAGCAAAATTTTAAGCAGTTTATAGCTTGGCAGAAAATGGGGTTGTTTAAAGATGCTGTCAGGAGGGGTGCAATTGCCAGAGAGATAGGCACCATCAAACAAAGCCAAGTAGCTTGCACTGGGATGACAGGAACGATGCCATCAGGGCATATCAAAATTTGACAATTCCCAACCTATAGCAAGATCAAGGGTGCAGGGGTGTGAATTTGCTTCATTCACTTTAATAAGAAGGCCTCAGAATGGACCACACACCCTGAACCAGATCAGGTGTCATTTCCCTAGAACTCAACAAAGCAAGGTCCTCAAAACACTACCATTATGGTCCAAGCAGGCCCAGGTACATTGGCAGCAGACCTTTGTGGAATCCATGTGATGTTGCCTTCTCAAGTATGAACAACACAAGAGTTACAGCTTTATAGTGGTTTCCACCAAGAAAAAGAATAGGGGGCCAGTCAGGAGCTCTGCAAGTAGCCTGTGATATGTGGAGTGGTATGTGGAGCTGTGAAAATGATGCCAAAGTTGACATGGAGACAAGAGGGTGGTGGAGATGCCAGGAATACGAATGCTGGCAGGGAAGCTCCAGGTACTGTGCCGAGCTAGCACAAGAGAATACGAATATAAGCTGCAACCAGGAAAGCTGTAGAAGTGGCCCTGATGGTCTACACCTACACTACCCAATATGATAGCCAACAATTGACATCTTGCCATTAAGCACTGGAATTATGACCAGTCAGAATAGAGATATGTTAGTCTAAAACACAGGTTGGGTTTTAAAGATTTAATGAAACTAACATAAAATAGCTTAATAATTTCTGTTCTTATTCTATGCTGAAATGATAATGGTTTGGTTAGATTGAGTTAGGTAAGATATGTTAAAATTAAATGAAAACCTTTTCCTTGTTAATTTATTATTCTTAAAGGAGTATGTATAGCACATAAAATAGAATGTAGATCTTGGGTCTCTGTAACAGTGTTTTCACATATCACAGCACTACTTACTTTGCTTTATCCACCTGTCTCTTGCATGTTCGCTTGTTTGAACATTATAATGCTTCATTTCAAATGTCAACTGATAAGACCTAGAACTGCCTGGGAGACGGGTCTCTGGGCACACCTGTGGGTACTATCTTTAATTGGGTTAATTGGAATAGGAGGTCCCACTCACTGTGAATGACACCACTCCCTGCCTAAAATCCTGAACTATACATATGAAGATGAAGAATTGAGACACAGGAGTCAGTCATTTATATTCTCTGCTTCTTTGGGGGGAGGATGGGAATAGAGGTGTTTATTTCAGCTTACAGCTCTCAGCTCACACTCCATTACTGAGGAAAGTCAAGGCAGGAACCTGGAACCAGGAGCTGCTGCAGAGGCCATAGAGGAATGCTGCTTACTGGCTTGCTCCACACAGCTTGCTTAAGCTGCTCTCTTCTTCTCCTTCTTCTTCCTATCATTATTATTATTATTATTATTATTATTATTATTATTATTATTAAACAAAGATTTTTATTTAGTATATTTTGATTACAGTTTCCCCTCCCCATACTTTTTCCAGTTCTTCCCCCTCCTATATGGATCCACATCCTAAACAGACATGCAAGGAATAATAATAAAATAAGATAAAACAAAAATAAACAATTCTGAATAGGACAAAATAATCAAACAAGAAAAAGAACCAAAGAAAAATCACAAGAAACACATATATAGAGAGAGACATACATGTTCACATACATAAGAATCCCATAAAAACACTAAACTGGAAGCCATAATATAAATGCAAAGGCTCTGTAAAGTTAAAAAAAAAGTTGCCTGACATAACATTATGAGACAAAGAACTTACAAAGATGTGACTGAGTTCACTTTGTGTTGGCCATCTACCATTGGGCATGAGGCCTATTCATAAGAGTCACTTGTTTCCCCATGGAGACTCCATTGAAGAAAATGCTGTGGAACAATCTTTTTCTACAGAATGAATGTGTATTACTCTCACTGGCTAATAAAAAGCTGATTGGCTGATAGCTGGGCAGGAAGAGATTTAGCTTGAGAGTCAGACTAGGAGAATTCTGGGAAGAGGAAGGGTAAAGTAGGAGAGTCTCCTGCAAATGCAGAAAAGCAATGAGAATGCCATCCTGAGAAAAGGTACCAAGCCACATAGCTAAACATGGATAAGAATTATGAATTAATTTAAGTGTAAGAGTTAGCTAGTAACCAGCCTGCGCTATCAGCCAAGCATTTATAAGTAATATTAAGCCTCTGAATTAATCATTTGGGAAGCAACTGCCAGGTATTTGGGAACACGTGGGTGGGAAAGAAACATCTAATTACAAGAAAACTAATTTTTCTATTGCAAGTAGCTAGCAAGCTAGCAAGAGATAGCTTCTGGGTTAGGGGTGAGGGCATGTCCACTTTCAGCTCTAGAACCCCATCTGATACAGACCTATGCAGAGCCTGTGCATGGTGCCACAGTCTCTGTGAGTTCATATATGTGCTGCCCTGTTTAGTCTAGAAAGCCCTAATTTCTTGGTGTCCTCCTTCTCCTCTGGCTCTTTAATACTCTATCTGCCTTCTTTTTTCCTGGTTGGGAGGGATTTGATGGAGGTATCTTTTGGGGGGCTGATATTCTGTTTATCAATTATGGAAGCAATGTGACCAGATGCTTCAAGTTCCTGTTGCCATGACTGCACCACCATGGTGGACCTCATCTTAAACTATGAGTTGGAGTAAACCCTTTCTCCCTTAAAATGCTTTTGTAAAGACATTTTATGACAGCAATGGGGGAAAAAAAAAGACAAACATTTTCTCAAGTACCGGCTGAAGCCCAGTCAGGACCTCTTCTCTTTTGTTAGTCTTTAATCAGAAGAGATGGAAGTTTCTTCTCTGCGGAGACATCATTCCTGTGTATCCTATAGCGTTCTCATTTTGTCCACTGAGGTGTAGATGGCCAGACAGCAGAAGCTTCATCCATATATGTTAGTATAAGACCAGGTCAAGTATGGACTAACTCAGCGATGGCTCCAGTATAGGTCAGGACTCTAGCAAATGCCAAGGCTGTCACTAAAAAACAAAAAATAAAACAAAACAAAAAAACCAGCTTTATGAATTGCATTATAGGTACCTTTTGAATTTTCCTTTTATCCACTTTAATGATTCCTTTATTTGTGCATTGAGTTCAAATGAGAGAGTTTTTCTTGCGATGCATTCTAAAACTTGTGCAAGAAGCCAGGGCATGATTACCAAAGAAAAATTTTCTTCTTGAAGATTCATTCAGTGAAAACACAAAGGTTGTTCATTTAACAACCATTTCTACCTTTGACCCAGGAAGATAAGAACAGAGTTGAATCTAGTAGAAGAAGGAGAACCAGCCCTTTTTCATGTCTTGTTGCTTATCCAAAGTCTACACCCTAAGAATAAATGTAAATCCTGTCCTTAAGACATTGTCAGAAAATCCAGGCTATCAAAATCACAGCTATCATCTGACCCACTTTCAACCCCACCACCACCACCCCAGGTTCTGCATACTATCTTGGGTGATCATGGGACTAATAGATTAATAATCACCCATAAGATAATCACCCACAGATAATCACTGTGGCTAATAGATTAAAAACCTCTTGAAATCTGTTATCTTAGCAGAACAGTAGCTTCCACCAACCTCAAAGCTAAAAATGTCAGTGGATAATATCTGAGACCTATAGAAAAACTTCAACCATCCTGCAGTACCCCCCCCTTTCCCTGATGGACCTACTATTGTAATTTAAATTACCTTGATTTATAATTTTCTTTGTTCCATAAAACTGTAAAACTGCTTCCACATAAATATGGAATTTGAGGTAACCTAAATCTGTGTTCCTAGCCTGTGGTCAATCAAATTTGTCTCTAGAATGAATGCTTGTTTCCCTTTTAAGGTGAGAGCTGTGGGGTTTGCTTTTTGTTTGTTAGATTTGGTTTGGTTTTTTGTTTTTTGTTTTTTGTTTTTGTTTTTGTTTTTTTCACCAATACCAGCAAACACCAAGGCTTCCCCAGATCCTCAGAAGACCTGGCATGACCATGATTTTATTGTTAAAGCAGAGAAACACTGATAACCAGTTGCTGTGTCTATTCTCCTGTCTAAATTTGAGTTTTATATGGACTTAATTGTAGGGAGGCCTTTCCACAGTGCTCCCTACATAACAGGACAGCTGGCTCTCCCAGAAATGTGTATTCTCAAATAAGAACATTACTATCTTCCCAAAAATGAAACCACACTTTTCTCATATCCTAATTTTAGATAGTTATAAAAGACCAAGGTAATTTAAGAGTTATATGCCACCAGGTGTTGGTGGTGCACGTCTTTAATCCCAGCACTTGGGAGGCAGAGCCAGGCGGATCTCTGTGAGTTCGAGGCCAACCTGGGCTACAGAGTGAGTTCCAGGAAAGGTGCAAAGCTACACAGAGAAACCCTGTCTTAAAAAATCAAAAAAAAAAAAAGAGTTATATCCCAACATTTCCACCATATCTTCTTCAGAACTGGATCAATTACTCCAGGATTCATTCAGCAACGTAAGGTAGTGCAAAAGCATAAAGAACAGAAATGACCACACTCACCTTGGGGGCTGCCCATGCTTTTCCCCATTGTGGATTCACCTCAGTGCTGGAGTGTGTTGTGTTTTTAATAGAGTTACAGAATATGTTTCTTAATGTTTTATAGATCAATTAGAGGTGAGGAATAAAAAAAAATACTACCACATGATGAATGATTGTGCCAGAAACAATTTGACTGAAAGCAATTTTGTGGAAACAAGAATGATCCAAAATCAATTTGGTCAAAACATATCCTAGTCACCAGAGGAATAGAAATATAAAAACAAAATACAAGTAAAAGTTCCCCCAAACCCTGAAAGGCAGATGAAAATTACTAAAGACTCATAAAAAGTTACAAAAGCACTTTCTGTCATGAACCAAAATAAACAATGTCATGAAACTGGAGACAGACTATTAATATTCCACAAATTATCATATTGGTCAGCTTATTTCATAAGAAATTGTATTGAGCCAAATTGCTCTCAGCTGAATTGCCCTACCCAATTAGAAAACACAACAGCTTCTAACAACGTGGTAGTAAGGCTATGGCCAGCCTTCATATTGATTTCTAAGAGAAGCGATTGGTGCTAGGAGGCCAAGAGATGGTTTTAAATGATCGATTACCCTGGAACTTAGTGTTTTAAGATAACAATAATTTATCTTTTTGTTGTTTCTTCGAGTCAGGAATTAATGAATATCTTAACTGAAAACGGTTAGAATCTATCATGAAACTAATCAGATGCCAGCTGAGGCTATAATCAATTGAAGGCTTGACCCACTGGAGCCACTTCCTAAGGGATCCAAAAGCATGGCTGTCAGTCAGGTTAGTCTCTTCACCTGAACCTCCCCAGATAGGCATCTGGTGTGGATCATTATTGGCATGTCAAAGAGCATCCCCCAAAGTGAAAGACCCAGGAAAGGAAGATGGGAACTGAGATGCCTTAAGGCCTTAGCATAGGAAGCCACATACTCTCACTCCACCACAGTCTATAGTGACATAGATCCATCTGATCTAAAGAAACAGCACACTACAGAGTTGCAAATTCTACAAAACACTGGCCATGGAATGTCTTCTTGGAATCTAGCTATCACATAAACAAAAAATATAAACCATTTGCAGTCTGGTTTCCACAGCAGTTTCTCTCTAGACCTTCTTTCTTATTTGAAAGATGATGGCTGATCTCCCTATGGTTCATAAAAACCCTGAGTCAAAGAAAGTTCAGGTGTCAACTTCATCCAAGATGGATAGTTTAAGCACCGTGTATGGAAAGAGCCAGCCCTGTATACTAGAGCTGCCTTGCTCAGTCAAATACTGAGTCTACTGCTTTGTAACTAGAACTTAAATTCCTCTAGAATTCCGCAGGGGAAAGTGCTGTTGTGTACTTAAAGGGGGAAAATCATCAAATGCAAATACCCTGGGGAGAGGTAACATGCTAGCCTAAATTTGCATCGAGGTGTGAATGATGTGTGACAGATCATTTCCTGAGCCACTTTCATAAAGGCTGGGCAACAAATAGAAAGTGGAAAGAGCCCTACGAGAAACATGGGTGAGGCATCCAGGGAAGTGGAAGTAAGAACTATGACATCACCATTTTTCCAGAGCCCACACTTATCCTACAGCAGTTCAAAGAGAGAATTATAGAAAGTTAGACCTACTAGCCAAAGCATAGTAATGAACCCTAAAATAAAGTACAGTTAGGAATCAGCAATTGAAAGAAACGTCATTTTTTAGAGTGGGGTCCAAAGCCTATAGTTTATACTGTAATCTATTTGTGCCTTTAGATTAATGACCTCTCCATATGTGTAATATATGCACATTAAGGCTTTAACAACTTACTTAGGGCAGTATCAATAGGAGAGGGTTAGGGACTGAAGCAATGGCACAGAATGAAGACACACTCGTAAAAGCACACTTGGACCGGGAATGAATCACCAGTGCACACTTGTGCTGTTCCTTTACACCACCTGGCATTGCCCCAAATAGACAGAAGAAAAAAAAAATCTGTCAATGTGGATTTGTATTTCCAGGAATGACTAAGAGCTGGCTATGTAAAGAGTGCTTTAGGCCAAATTGCATGACAATGACCTTCAAAAAGCAAGAAGGGGTGTTCAAATGTCTCCATGGCCTGCAATTTGGTTATACCAAATTGTTCAGGATCTCTCCCAAATACCTGAAAATCATTCCAAGAAAATAGTTTTATTCAAGTCAATTATGACTTAAGCACATGGGTTAAAATTTTGGGGGAAAAATCAGGGGCACTACAATTCATAATTCTCTTGCTCAGACCATTTTCTATTCTATCAGACCCAGCTATGCTATCACATTCTCTCTTTCTACTAAGAAAGTTCTGCTGCTTCCCTCTCCTTCCCCTTGAACATCCACAGCCACAAGGTACCAGTGTTCCCATTACTAATGATACTCCTACAGTCCATTGCTTTCCTACCATACGGGCAATCTATATGCTTCGTATTTTGACTTTAGAGGGAAATCCATTAGTTCAACAACAAATGCTACACACACA